AAAAAAAGAAAATTACTTTGTTGCCTAATACCAGAGGGGCGTTAATAATCGGGAGTCTTTGATTTTTCTCAATCGGCAATAGACAGGGATGGTCTTAATAAAAGTGACCATCAGAAAATCATTTGTAGGAGCAAGGACTTCGAATTTAATAATCAGGTAGGCCTTAATAATCTCAGTGGAGTCGAAAAAGAAATCTATAAATGAATAAATATCCTTAAATAAAAAGGAACCGAATTGTAAATATCCGTTAGATAGACTGAAAGTAGAGAAGAAAAGAAAGAAAAAATACAGGAAAGAAACGAAAGAAAAATTGAAGGAAAGAAACAGAAGAAAAAATGAAGAAAACTAAAAAAAGAAGAAAAGAAAAGAAAGGTAACATGACGGAATAAAACGAAAAAAATGACGGAATGAATTTAAAAAAATGAATGAAAGAAACAAAAATGAAGGTAGGAAACGAAAGAAAAAAATGAAAGAAGGAAATGAAAAAAATGAAAAAAGACAGAAAAATGAGGGAATAAGACGAAGAAAATGAAGGAAGGAAAAAAAAGAAAAATGAAGGAAGGCCAGAAAAATGAAGAAAAGAAAATAGTAATGAAAACATGAAGAGAAGAAACAAAAGAAAAATACGAGGAAATGAAACGAAAAAATGAAAAAAATGAAAGAAAAGAAAAATGAAAGAAGGAAATAAAAAAATGAAGCAAGAAAAGTAATTAAAAAAATGAAAGAAAGAAACGAAAAGAAAAACGAGGGAATAAAAAAAGAAAAGGAAGGAAACAAATGAAAAAAATGAAGGGAAGAAAAGAAAGAAAAATATGAGGGAATGAAACGAAGAATGAAAATGAAAGAAAAAAAATGAATGAAAGAAAGAAAATTTAAATGCAACGTCAATCGCCATCATCGATCTTCTTGTATCTGTCCATCCTTTGTCCTTTCCTCAATCTTCCTCATACTCAGACTTTTCTTTCAATTTCACTCCCTGTAACCCATTTCGTACTTAGAGAGAAGTAACAATGAAATCATTGAAAGAGTTAAATATTCACAAAAGAACATATGTCACCCCACTTCTATTTGTCAGCTAAGATAAATCTATTCCATTGACTTTCGAGCAAATGCACTTGGAAAGGCATGAATCCGATTTTCCCCAAAGCTATAGGTAAAACAGCATGATAGTTTCGGATTTCTATCTTTGGGTGGAAACAAGTCAAGGAGAAAAAAAGGTCTTAAAAGCATGAAGCCAGAAGAGAGTTCCACAATAAACACAAAAAATTTAGTTGTGATATGAAATGGGTAATTATAAATGAATAAAGACTTTAAATACGTTTTTGATTATAAATAGTTGGCCCAGGTTAATATTCTTTATATAGAAGATGAATGTAAATAGCACAATTCTTAATTATTTCTTTTTTTTTTAAACGGTCTCGTCCCATACAAGGCAGTAAAGCCACTAAGACACAAGGAGTGTGGAAGGATTAGGAACAGAAACATTAATAATGAACAGGAAGAGGAAAGATTAATCAGGCACACAGTAGACAGCAATTGATATTGCATTTAAATTTTGCCGATTAATGTTGGCTGGAAAGCATGGAACCAGAAGAGAGTTCCACAAGCAAGAAGTGTAAGAAAAGAAACTGTTAGCATAGAATTTATGGTTACATCTAACCAGCTCAATTGTCAATTGATGAGATCTCGATGTCAGTTCAGTACTGCACTTAAATTCAAAAAAAATTTAGGTACCATAGCGAAGAGCTATTAAATCAAAATTAAATCAAAATTACCCTGTGCATGAAAAGGTATAAGATTTCCATGTAAAATTATTCAAGACATTGCATTTAAATCTTTGCAGGTTAAAGTTGGCTGGAACAAAAAGCTGGAAGGGCGTTCCACAAGCAAGAAGTGCGAAGAAAAGAAATTGTTAGCATAGAACATACTATTAAGGAAAGAGAACAATAAAAAGAAGATAGAAGCTAACGATTGCCATTGCATTTAAATTTTTGAAAATCAAAGTTGACTGTAGTGCAAGAAGCCGAAAGAGAGTTCCACGAATGAGAAGTGCGTGAGAAAATAAACTGTTAGGATAGAAATTGAGACTACATCTAGCCAGTTCAATTGTCTATTAATGAGATCTCGACGTAAGTCTCGTACTACTTTACAGAGAAAGCGAAATAGAAAACGTACCTCCATCTTTGCTGTCAGATTCTGAATGATATATGTATAAATCTGTGGAAAAGAACCCTCAAATGTGCTGTAGATAAAATTTCTTTGGGAAGCAGGCCGTGTTTCTAACCAGGCTGAAGAGAAAGAAAAAATTAATGTTATTTTTATATAAATATATTTAAAATAAAATTTTGCCAATTGTTATTTTCAATCCCTTTCTAGCGATAGATCACACGAAAAATGTCTTTATTCCATTTTTTTTAAAATCATAATCAAGCAGATTAAAAGCATAATGATTTAAGATAAATAGTAGATCGTGATGAAGGTAGAAAATGTAATTGATTCAAGACAATTCACATTTCGTGAAGAAGATAGTAAAATCAATTCTGGTTTAAAAGACAGAAATTTTGCACTGCACATTTTTATAAAATATGTGAGCTGTGCTTGGAAGAACGGTTTTTTAGATTTCCTTAGGGCGTTCTGCAAGAGATCCTTTCAAGATGTCTATCAGAACTCAGTGGAACTCAGAGCATTGGAATTCTTGACGCCTTCATAGGTCACACTTTTTAAATTTCCACTTCAAGATTATTCATTTTTTATTGTTTTTTCTCTTCAACGCTCCATTACCGTCTGCAATAATTGCCATGTAAATAAGGAAGCACATTTTTTGTGGTCTTTGATGCCTAAATTTTGGCATTTAACTTTGTGTGTTCTATCTGAGTATCATGAAAAGTCACATAACATTGTCACAAATTAATCAGTTCTGGGTGATATTCGTACTAATTTTGGTCAATTTTATTTCCAACTCTTAATCCACATCAGCATGACGTTTCCTTATTTGAGAAGATAATAGGTTGAGTTCTCTCATTTAAATCACATCATTTTGTTGAATCTAGGTGTCAATCCTTTGATTACTCTAACCATGACACTCTTTGGCGCACGCCCCATTACTAATTATATCAGTTTACTTAACAGCAGTCATTCTTTAAACAATTCTGACAACGTCTTTATTTTATCTGAATATAAGGCTCAGCAGTTATCTTTATTAAAGTTCGCTTTCAAATTTTGACTAATGTCCAATACAAGTGCACAATTATCAGCACTTTCTCCATATTTGCTATCTTCAGTTTTACTACAAGGCCTTCTGCTCATGCGTGCACCAACTGCAGTTAAAATTTAAACATGGCCGCACCAAGGAGAAAAAAACAGCAGTGATCTGAATTTTCAGAGAACATGTTACCTCATAGCCGGTTCGCCATTACCGTCTCCGTGCGTCACGTTTTTCTGGCCACTTTTAAACTTCTCGATCCACTCATACACACATCTCCGTGATAGCCCTGTCTCAATATTGTGTTAAAAGTCTCCGATTAAATTCAGCCCATGACATACTTTACATCTAGAAAACTGCTAGCGGAGAGGTAATGTTTAAACTGTAACAGTAGCTAGAAAACTGGTGTTCTCAAGCTCCAACTTCGATCTCGTGACCACAAATGTAGCAACTATAAGCACGCCTGAGTAGAAAGCAGTGTGGCAAACCTGCCTGATATGTCATGGCGAAAGTGCGTATTACTTTTGACTGACACTCGTACATACCTTTTAGAATCGGATCCCAGTTCAGAATGGAACTGCTCATGAAAACCATTCCGTTACGGGATACTGTGGCTGGTGAAGCGTTGTCAATGTTGTGCACCTCAAAGATGATTTTGCACAGAGGGTCCATCGGTATACGATCGCCATTAGCTAATGTTAATGTCTTATTGTCATCTAACACAGAATTCAAGTTTTCGATCCAAATGGCATCTACTGGTCCGTCCAGGATAATCCAGATATGTTCACCCTATGAATATAAGATCAGATAGTCTCATGAATCATAATGTTTCAATTGAGATTGAATTGTTTCATTTTACATTAATATTTTTAGTTACAATGACAAAAAGTGCTATAAATATTTCTTATTACGTTTGCCACTATATAATTAGTTTTCTCCTTGTTAAGAATAGAAAAAGTTAATCTACGAGGGGGTGAGGGCTGAAAAGGTCAAAGGTTGACTGTGAATAAGTGATACTAGAACTGTGAAATCCCGGATCTTTACCAATTTTTAGTGCACACCAGCACAAACGAAATTAGTGACGCAATGTGAGGTTTTATTGTCCACAGAGAGAAGGCACCGTTGTATGTTTAAGTAGGCAGTCTGATTCGGGGCCTTTATTCATAATTAGGGCTGTTTACTAACGGCCGTAGAATAACGCCTAATAGCGATAACAGAAATAAGATGAAACCAATATAAATGAAAGGGAATAATAACTGATAATACATTCGGAAACTTAACCCTATAATCTTCTATCTATAAAAGGCAGGATGTGTGTGTGTGTGTGTGTGTGTGTGTGTGTGTGTGTGTGTGTGTGTGTGTAACGAATGCACAGCCGCAATTTTCGACGGATTTGCACCAAAATTTACATGCACATGCTCCAAGTTAGCGAGAAGGCCAAGACCGACTTTGCATTTCCTAACTCCCATCGATAGTGGAAATAATCGATTTTTTCATGCTTCTACGACAGTTTTCATGTAGTTTGCGGCCATTTTCTACTGGCCAGAGTGAGAGCCTATAGCAAGCTGGCTGCCACGAATAGGCAGGAAGATTCTATTGGCCAGCGTGAGAGCCAACAGCTGACTGACACGATTGTTAACTAGCATGCTAGCATGCAAAAAAATCGATAGCTGCATTCGTCACAAGTGGGAAAAATTTAAATCTGCATGGCACTTTACTCCAATTGGCCTATTCGCTTGCTTAAACTCAACGTTGATTCTGTTTACACGTGAAAAATAAATAGGTAAAAATAAACGCGTCATAGATAGATAGATAGATAGATAGATAGATAGATAGGAGTGTAAACTAAAAAGTTTATGAGCTGAGTTTGATGCAATGATGCTAGATCTGTGGAATCTTGTATGCATTAATTTCAACTCTTATTAATTACTACATTGTTTCTTTCCAGGTAACAGCTGACTGTTCAAAGAAATCTTCAAAAGTAACTAGTAGCAAATACTCTTGAAAATCAACAGAAAGAGATAGATAGATAGATAGATAGATAGATAGATAGATAGATAGATATGAGTGTGGGATGAAAAGTTCAAAGGTTGACTGCGAAGGAGTGAGTCTAGAACTGTGGAATCCCGCAGGTGTTAATTTCAACTCTTCTTAATAACTGCACTGTTTCTTTCCGGGTAAGTATGAAACGTCTCCCCATCACCTAACGACAAGTTAAATATTAGGGTAGAGTAATCTTTCTAGCCTTAGGTGACAGTCCGTCTACAAGGATAAGCCTGAATTCTAAACTGTGGCGAAAATCAACGGGAATCCACTACATTTCACAAGAAAATAATGACAATTAATTTAATTAATTTGTGAACCGTCAAAATAGGGTAGTGCTGAGCGAAATGTACAACTCACGCCCACGCAGGCAGACACGCGGGTACAAACATCCAACGTTATACCAGGAAATCGAGCATACACACAAAAAATTGAGCTTTATATATTAGACTAGCAGCATGGTCCGGCATTGCCCGTGCTTGATTCAAAAATCGTACGACTCATACAGCAATCGCTATCACTTGACTTTAAATATTTTTGCCCTTCCTTACCTTTAAAGGAGTGCTCTTTGCCGTGCTGATGTTGCTACATGCCTTACTTCTTGCCTATCTCACACTGCGAATTTTTTCTAAGCTCTATACTAAACATTAAATCTGTTACGAAAAAAGAACTAAACAAAATGAACACAAAACGATAAGCTTTAAAAAAGGACTCGTAACTGGAAAAACCGAATGAAAAAAGAATGTTAACAACAAATACTTTTTCACACCCAACCCAGTTCTGCGGAATCAGAATCAACTCATCTACAAAAGTAAGTCAAAAATTACCAGAACTTTCATATCTTTAGGTTTGTCACACTGCTTTCTGCTCATGGGTGGTTATAATTGGTACTATTATGGTCACGGGAGCAAATTTTGAGTTTGATCGCGCCAGTTTTCTTGCTGCTGTTACAGTGTGAACATGCCCGCTCCGCTGGCAGTGTGTATCAAGGATGCGCAAATAGCAGCAATTCTATTTCTCTGATCAGAAGGTGTGTTGAAGGCATTTAACACAATACAGCAACAATACACTATCGCGTAGAAGTGTGTATGGTGATTTTCTAAGCGAAGCTTAGATGTAGCACAAGGCTGAAAGAGTGGAGTACCCACTGAGGATCAAACTCACTACTCAGTCGTAACTGATCTACCATTACACCATATCATATTGTCTGCGTAGAAGTGTGTATGAGTGGATCGAGAAGTGAGTTATCATCGATTAGGTAGCATATTCTCCGCAGATTCGGACCACTGCACCCAGACTGACAAATTAGCTGTTACCATCAATTAGCATGTCTAACGGCCAGCCTGCCATTACTTTGAGCGACAGTCTGACCCAATCCAGAACTTACATCTGTTTCAACGGCGACCGTTAATATAGAGCCTACACCGGAAATCTTCAACGTCCGGTTAGTTTTCACCCGAAAGTTATCTGTTATGTTATTAATCCGAAAGTTAACTATTATTTTATTCTCTTTTGCTCAAGGGAGAGAACGCTTTGAAGACACTATCTCACAGATCTTACGGCTGGTCACAACACTCGAGATATAATCACACACCACTCCTTCAATGTGGATGAGCCAAACATAGCGTCACACTTATTAAGGAGCGTAGAACGATCATCTGAGAGTTGTCATACAAAATCAAGATGGAAGAACTGCTCTTAAGAGTAATGATAAGAGAAAAAAGTAACGAAACAACTAAATACCCACTTTTTTCGCTTTCAAAGTCTTTCTCCATAGAGTGGAAAAGATACCATCCGTCCAGTCATTGGTGGCCACGTCAAGTTTACCAAACATTTGAGGAGCAGTAATTGCTTTAGGATTCATTCGCATCTCTTTGTGCAACAAGCCGCATTGTGTGAGAGATTTGCGAAGCACGTAGATGCATTTCGTCTTGCCGGCTCCACTCGGTCCCAATGTCATCATACCGTGACGAACTCTTTGGGTTTCATAAAGCTGGATCAATTTCAGGACCCATGGAGCATGATTAATCAAGCCAGCCTCTGTGACCTAAAAAACAAAATGAGCATTGTATAAGTAAATTTTTCTTAGCGTCCCACAAAGCTAAAACGTTTCTTTTTTCTTTCTTTTTTTTAACCCCCTAACCAATATCCGTAGATTATTATTTTAGAACTGCCTGAAACTGCCAAAACAGATTAGCAATGAAGAACAATAAATGACTGGTACAAAGTTGCTCATATGAACAAATTAATTCTATTTGCATTCAATTTCGCACCTAGTCATCAAGAAAGTCAGAGGTATACAATAACTAGTAGAATAACGAATAGAATAACTCTATAACTAGTAGTAACGAGTAGACTGTGCTCTCTATCGTGAGGTGGAAACTAGTCGAGAAAAAGAAAAATCCTCGAATTCCAAACCGTGGAGTAAGCAACTGGAAATTACTTCAGTATTTTTTTCCGATGAAGTCATGGAAATTCGCAGATAATAAACAAACGGAATCTAGGGAGATTCATGATCGCCTACATCTTAAATGGACATGGCATTACAAAAACAATCTACCGATTAAAATATCTACCGATTAGCTAAAACGCACAGCCAGGACTGTTTTTATTATTATTATTATTATTTATTATTATTAAAATATAACTCGTTGAACTTTGAGAGCTGACCCCTGGCCGTGTCGATTTTCAGTATTTTGGAACTGCCTGTCTAACAGAACAGACCAACCTTAAAGAACCGCAACTAAGCTTGCGGCCAAATCACATTGAATCATCGATTCTTGTACATTCACTGAAGTTAAGCAACGTCGAGCTTGGTTACTAACTAAATGGGTAACCTCTTGAGTATACAAGGTGATGTAATCTTGAATGTGCGGGTGGTGTAATGTATAACGGCTCGGAATTGTTAATCGGAGAACGGAGTTCCAATTCCAGTTGGGTTTGTTATAGTCACTTACACACACTTGGGAAAGGTATGAGGGTGCCTATTCTCCTCCATCTATGGGTTAATTAGTAAAAATTTGATCAGTATATAATTTTTTTTTTTTTAATTCTTACAATATAAAAATATTTTCTCTCTTTAAATAACCTGCAAGTGTTTGATAAACCATAAAAAACCGAATCAATCAACACTAAATAGCTGGTATAAAGTCGCTTATATGAACATGTGTAGTGAATGTCTCACTCCAGATCATGCCAGTATAGTCATTGCCGTCATTAACACACCAGACCATCTACTGATCCAGAGGCAGGTCTGGTTTGATAAAATAGCAGGCTAGATCGGGCTATATAGCCTTGGGTAGTAGCAAGTATGGAAGGACAACTCTGAAATCCAAACCATAGAGAAGCTAACGAGAAACCAGTTCACAATTTTTTTTTCTCATGAAGTCATGGCAGTTGACAGGTGATAAACAAACGGAATGTGTGGATAGCTACGATCTTCAACATCAGTGGTTATCAACAGGGTTCCATGTAACATTACTGCGGGTCCACACACAAAAAATAGCAAATTGGGTGTCCATGGTAATATTTTAGTGACCCATAGAGCAATTTCACTTCGGAATGGTTGTTACAACTGAGAATTGGAATTTCAACAGTAATCTAAGCCATATAAAAATACTTGAAATAGAAAAACAACTCTAAAACTAGCAGAAAACGAGATCAAGCGATGTAAGTTATAGCGCCCCTTTTACTCTACCGAATGTTTAGATTTAAAAGTTGAATAAAAGCTGGGAAGGATATATAAGGAAGGATTATATATATATATATATATATATATATATATATATATATATATATATATGTGTGTGTGTGTGTGTGTGTGTGTGTGTGTGTGTGTGTGTGTGTGTGAAAATATATAGAAAATAGGAAGGCACTGGTTAGGTAAATAATCCAAAGTCCCTTAGTATTTTAGTTATTATTTTTTAAAAATAGTGCTCGATACAAAAGTAGAGCATAAATATAATTATTTATTTAAAAATATGATTCCAACTCGCGACATAAGAGGTCTCATGTTTCAAAACAAGAGCCGAAAACTTCAATATAATTATTTGAATTAAATTGAGTTAAAGTAAGCTCTGTTCCATCTTCAAGCGAAATTTTTTGGAATAACGTATATCTGAAATTTACGTGTTTTAATAATTGAAATCAAAATTTCCATGGTAACAGCTAGGGCGAATTGTTTAAATTGGGTAGCCGGGTGTTGGGTGTTAATAATTTGTATCAGTATAGAGTTACTTTCATAGATGTCAAGTCAGGGAAAGGTGGGGGTGTCTAAATTTGAAACGGAAGATGTATTAACCCTCGTCTAGTTTGCATGTCTATGGAGATTTATTTATTTATTTATTTATTTTTTTATGAAAAGGATTTGTGCATATAAAAAAACTGTCGTAACGTTTGTTTTTTTTGGTTTTTTTGGTTTTTTTTGACGACTTCATAAAGGGTTATCTTTTTTGTAGGGTATTTAAACTATTTTTTTTATATGCACAAATCCCTTTCATAAAAAAATAAAAATAAAAATATTATAATTTATTATATAAATTAATTTAATATATTAATTTTAACTATTACTAAAATAAAATATTAATATAACTTAATATAGAATATTAAAATATTAAATATTAATAATAAAATTGATTAACAGTATTAAGTTTTTCAGCAGCAGCAGAAGCAAGTACCGACAAAACTTATATATAAATCAACTTGTCACAAAGCATCATCGTGAAATGGTAAAAGATAGTTATTAAATACAAGTTTAATTTCATTAAATTATTTTTACTTTAAAATAAAGTATATACATTTACTATTTCTATGAAAAAATTCTTATGAGTAAAAAATAAAATAACCTTTTTTTATTTCATCGAAAAAAATTAAGAGTCAAAGTGGTCCATGGGTAAAAAAAGGTTGAGAACCAATGGTATATATCCTGAATGGACATGACATTATAAAGTACTGATTAAAAATGTCTGCTGGTAGTGCCCTCTCCATATCAGACAGAATTTTACAGATAGGAATCAGAGTTCAACATGTCAGCGAAGGATATTGTTAAATAA